CGGTCTCCATTGGAGTTCCCCAAGGCTCCTTTTTGGACCACTGTTGTTTCTATACGTCAACGACTTTCCAGAGGTTCTTGCAGGCCCATGTCTACCTTTGGCGGATGACTTGAAATCCTGGAGTTTCGAAGCCAGTGCCCTCCAACCGGGTGTAGACGAGATAACTCAGTAGTCGTAGACTGGCATCCTCCTCTGAATGACGAAAAGCGCATCCGTATGTCATCCGGGGGACTCAACGAACACCTGTGTCACACATGTTGAGGAAGGACCATAAAACTTCATAAGAATAGAAGCGACAGAGGATTTGGGTGTCTGAATTTATTCAAACGTTTTGCAGCGGGCGAACGGTATCTTCGAGTGAAGTGTAGTACCCAAACCTGCGGGAAGCAAATTAATTCGGAGCTTGCTTTCCATACGGTACCAATACTTTAAGAGAAAGTCTCAAATTATGGAATGCTCGAAAGCAGATTCTCTTTCGAATCAAGTTCTTTTGCTGAAATACGAAACTGGAATGTATTGGAATATATAGACTCCCACGTGAAATGGCCACGCGTTCACACGTTGCCGGAAGTGCTCAGGGCCAATGGGTGAAGTGGAAAGAAAAAACAACCATTAGTTCATATACACGTTCTTAACACTAAGGTGGGGTGCCTCAGATGTGGACACAATTGGCGGCCGCGTCCTAGACTCACGCTTCGTTCCTTTGAAACCGTTCTTCGAAAAATAGAAACCGTAACATAAATTTAAAGCTTTTGATGTTAATTATTCCGGGGCTCAATATCTCCCCGCGCGGGCAGCTGTTTTGTTGAAAGCTGTTTAATGGAATTCGGAGTCCACTGCATGCGCGGAATTCGTAGTTAATGGCCACCGTTTTATTCGTCCCTCGTCTCTATAACGGTGGGAAATTTTGCTGGCTGGTTGGTTTCTTCGCGTGTTTTCTTACGTATTGGTGTTGGAAACAACCTCAAAACAACCTAGACAGTGATCGTTCCCATTACATCCACAGAAAGTTAGATTGGACCGGTCATTCCCAACCTGGACGAAGAACTTCTCTACGGTTACAGCGTGCGTCCCGCTAAAGCCGGGGAATTTGTCACTTGTAGTAAGTTTGTCTTTTATGATGGTCAGCATACGTTGTATCCAGCTACAGTCAAGGTTTGAACTACACCGATAAACGGAGCCACCAGTAGTGCTGTTGGATAACCTATTGGGTTTGCGAATTGCGCCTACCTGATGAGCCCCTGAAATGGAGAAACCGGTCGTGGGCTGTCAACGGGTTTTCATCATCCTTGTGAATAGTACATCACAAAGATAAACGTAGGTGATTTCAATTTCCGAATTGGTGGACGATATACTGTCAGCCAAATACTCCACGTTGATTCGGCGGACGCCGCGATTCTTGTATTCTTCCGATGCTCAGCTCCATTTTGAGGCACCTCGTCAGCCGCCCGCACTACTGGTCCAAGTCCACTCCCACCACAAGCGCCGGCTTTGATGGAGTGCAAGCCAAACCTCGTCCCCCCAGCAATCATACCTTTCCAATATCCCTCCTGAGAACGCCGCCCGCCGTTCTAACATGCGGGGCTC